GGGGGGGGGGGGGGGAAACTGCCCCCCCCCCCCCCCCCTGGGATTTGAGGTGCAAAAAAAAAATAATAAAAATAATCGCAAAGGTAAAAAAAATTGCAAAGTTGGTATCAATTCTGTGAGAAAATGCACGGATTGGCTCTCTTGCTTGTCCACAGAGGAAGAAACGTTATTCCTGATCCTGAGACAATCTACGAAATGAAGTCCAATTGGCATGTTGTGTTGAAAAAATGACTGCACTTATGGCAAAATGAACCCACAATTTCTGATTTCTGATTGAGCAATAAATAACAGTTAAAATGCACCAGAATGCAGTATTATACATACAGTTTTTAAAAATTTTCCACACCGTGGGAGGGGGTGTCCCCCCTCGGGGGGTTCGCCCCCATGTGTCCGCTTACTGCCCCCCCTGGCATTTTGCTCAGGCTACGGCCCTGTTAATGTTTCCGACCAACGCTGTATTGCAAAGGACTGCTAGTGTGATACCTTGGACTCGACTGATATTGGTAATGTCAAAACAAAGATTTCAAGATTTCAGAGTTGCTTGTAATTCAGCGACCCCCCTCTCTTAATATCTGGTTAATGTCTATTCGTCATTCAGACCTGTTTTTTTTTTTTTTTCAGGTGTGGTATTCGCTAGCATCAGCGAGGGATTAGGAGAAGTCACCTTTTTCCAAATGACGGTATACTTTGACCAGTAGGTGGTGATATGTTACCTTCTACTAGGACTCCAGTTTGATTCTTCACTAGATATAGATAACACAGCACAAGAAAACGTCATGATTGCACCAGGAACATAATCGTACATATCTGGTGAAAAATCATTCTTTGGTCCTGGTAGAGGGTAGTGATTTTTTGTCAATTCTTTTTCAAACAATTAAAAAAGTAATATTTTATTTTCTTCTGTGGGTTTAGGTTGGGGGTGGGTAGTAGAAATCAAAGAATTTTTGAAAAAAACTTTTTTGAGGTTTGGGGATGGTGGTAGTAGTGGGGGGATTGTAAATGACTCCCTATCATGGTCTTCAACAGATGCCCCCACTCAAGCATTTTTACTAAAACACGGTCCTAGATACCATAATCATGTGCTATATCATTGTCGTTTTCAGGAACGTCGTGTCAGCTTTTTCCTCAGGCACAGGGGCGGCGGGTTTCCTTGGCGCCCTGACATACGCAGGACTCCGAACTGCCGGCGTCTCAGCCAGAAATTGTCTCTTCTTCATGCTTGTCTACCCGGCCATCATGGCCGCCACCTATTTTCTGCTTCTTGTCAAGCCTCCGGAACTCAGCGGCCCGTGCTCTAAACTAAATCGTTATGATAAGTTGATTCAAAGTAGTGATGAGAACAACTCAGATAGGAGTAGTACAGGTGAGGTTGATATTTCGAACGTATTTGACTCTCTTTATTAGATTTAGCTTTTATAGTACACGGTTTGTCATTATTTGTGCAAAGTTATTTTTTCATCATTCATTCATAATTTTTGTTCATTTTGACATTTTCAGTTGTTTTATTCTACTGGTATATTGCGTATATAATATTTTACCTTATTTTGTTTCTATTTTTAGTTGAAAGCATTTCAAATTATTCATTAAAGGAAAAAATCACACTTGTGAAGGTAGGTAGTTTTAGACAATCCAACGTCTGCCATAATTCTCGAACGTATTCACAAGATTCTGTGACTTCTTTAATAATTATGAATATTTTGTATTAAGGAAGATTGTAGATATTTTAAACAAATATCGGAATATGTAGACCTCTATTTAATGCATCGACATTTAGCAGTGTAAAACGTATAAAAACGTTCATAACTGACGTAAAATGCCATCTTTTTTTCGCCGTTTTATTTAACATGGATTCCTTAAATATTATAGACTATACTCATACATACACTTGTAATAAAATATTAATTTTTCAGCCTTTGTTGAAGTACATGGTCCCGCTGGGACTGGTTTACTTTCTGGAATACTTTATAAATCAAGGGCTGGTAAGTACAGTGTACCAGATACAGCTAAATACGGCTATATTCCTGCCCAGTGCCTTGCTGTAACAAACGTCTTGTTGTTTAATTTTACCATCTGCATTAAAGCCTTTAGAAGGAATTCTTTGTGAACAGGTATCAGAACAAAGTTGGCAATTTGGTTATACACGATAAATTAGTTGTTTTAAAAATGCTATTTACATCTTGTCATTGATCAGTCACTGTTACGCAGTTCATTATTGTACATCTTTTCCAGTACGAAGTCTTGTATTTCAATGACATATGGTTAACGACAGACGAGCAGTACGAATGGTAGGTATAGGTCTATTTGTAGGGCCTACTAATAAAAAGATTGTTTTGGTTTATACCGAAAATTCTAAACATCCAAAGCCCCTAAACTTTTCAGTTTTAGGTTAAATATCCATCATATAATAAAATCCTATTATTATTTGACTTCAAAGTTTTTCTGTTACAAGATGAAAGTTTTCATGTAGCGTGGGGTGCAGGCTTTCTGGCAATCGGCATTGTGCCCGCTTGCAAATTTAGAGTGGGTTAACCTGCGTTCTTTTGGAACTGGTCATTTAAGAGAGAGCGATAGAAAGAGAGATTGTTAATATAATTCCAATCTTCCTGTCCTTCAGGTACCAGATGGACTACCAGCTCGGGGTGTTCTTGTCCAGATCTTCAGTCAATTTGATTCATATCAACAAAATTTGGGTTTTCCCCATTTTGCAGGTAATGATTTTAAATGATTTCTTTAATTTGAAAAAAGGGCGTGCAACAGAGATAAATAGTGCTAAGGAACCATAAAGGTTTAGACATAATTTGTAGGATATATCTATTGAAAATCAAGATTAGAATTGGTTGACTCTGATTTTGCGTTTAGCGGCAATTATTTTCAAATTGTGGTTTCTGTAAGTTCAAACGCACATGCTTACTGTGCGTCATCTTTCTTTCAGGGTATCAACCTTGGGGTATTGGCTGCTAATGCTGTGTATCGGTTCATTCCAAGCATCTGGATCATTTTGACCCTGATGTTCTGGGAGGGACTGCTAGGAGGCGCCACCTTCGTCAATACTTTTTATAGAATTAGAACGGAGGTAAAGTACATGTACGAACTTGGGCACGTGCGTGTGTGTGTGCGTTTATGTGTGTGTGTTTTAATGAAACGCGACTGAGGATTTATGACGGTCTGGTTAAAAGACAAACCTACTTACAGAATGACACGCCCACTTTCGATCAAACTCTTTGAATAGGTGTAAATTTCGCCGTGATTTTAACTCGTTTTCTTTTTACCTTCAGGTTCGGGAGGAGCACCGCGAATTCAGCATGGGCGTAGTAACCCTGGCAGACGCTGTTGGAATATTTATTGCAGGGGCAGCAGCTTTACCGTTACACACTTACCTGTGCAATATGTACACGGGATGAACTGACGTCACGTCGGTGTAAGAGTGTGACGTCACGTTTCAGATATGACGACTGTGGCAGTAGACAGGCATTATCAGGGATTGTAACTTTGTAGTTTGAATACGAATGGCGTGATGGTGTGACACATACCAGTAAAACAGGAACTTACACAAGTGTGAACTTACACATGTGGGAGTGTTCATCCTAGATGCCATTACATAAAGACTTAACAAAATACAGTGTACGACAACAAATTTTCTCTGTCACAGAACTTATGGTATTATTTACTCAGGAATTGAATATACCTGTCCTTATGTATTATAACTTTATCTGACCTCACTTTCCCTGGTGCTAAAATAATTGTGTTAAATTTACATATTTAAATATTAAAAAAGCAAATTGACAACTGTTTTGTCAAGCAGTTTTTTATTATTATTAGATGCTTTCAACAAGTGACATCTAAAAATTCCTGAGCCAATCTTACAATAACCTGTAGACTTCAAACTTATTGTCTGACACCTCCCATGAAAACATTCACAAGGGGGCGCTGAACTCCCACATATAGGATCCACTTCAGTAACATCCTCTTCTTTACACAATTCCGTTTTAATTCTTAAATTTGATGAAATCTTTTCAAGAATTTGGATAAAATTAAATACTATGACTAAGGACAAGATCAGAAATGTGATCTTTCAAAATCAAAACAGGTCACTGATGTCATCCATGTAGATGTCTGTGAGGGGGGCGGACGTCCTCTTAGGAGGGGTTGCTACATGAGGTTCGTATGTCCACTTTGGGTACATTCTCTTGTACAGATTCATCAATACAGTGTCCTGAGACTTCAGCTGACCATCAAATATACACTTCATGTGACCATGGGTGCCTGGTTAACAAATAAACAAGTAGTTAAAAACAAATAATGTTCAAAACCAAGATTTGAAGATGGTAGTACCCCATTATTATTATTTTTTAATTGAAGCAAAGATTTGAATGCTCCTCCCCCCTCCACTTGATGGTAGAACACTTTAATCTGAAATCATCTAAACTTTCACCCATTTACTTACTAAATAAGTAAATAAATAAATGAATGAATATAGGATGTATAAATCTTTCAAATTACATCTTAAAATCAACTTTGTCTCGTAACACTCAATACCTTACCTCTTACTAAGAGGTAGAAAAATTTCATCCTGTACAAAATCTTAATAATTTTCAGCATTAACCAAGACAAGCCAATCCTTACCCAAAGCCTCCTTGATGTGCCCTCTCCTCCCATACTTAGTCCTCAGTTCTACAGGCTTGAACCACAGTATGTCCTCTGAAAGATGGTGTAGGAGAAGGTATCAATATGGGACATGTTTATGAAGAAAATATTTATAAGACCAAAGTATTAAAATAAGACATTCTTAATAAAACAATATTTAATCTATATTTACTAAGCAAAGTGCTGGACCCATTCCTTTTCCAGTCTACTGGTATCAATATAATGTACTGTACACCTTCCACAAAATAAATATAATTATTCAACTATATTAAATATAAATGCAGATGATCAAGGAATTAAACAGAATCTTATGTTCTTAAAAATTTTCTTTGCAAAATATGACCATCTCATAGTATCTTCTTGTCACAGAAATTACTTGCATCTGCTCACCTCTGTTAAAAAACATATATCTGACCACAGCTGACTTCTTGTTAATCTTAAAGGCATGACCACTGAGGACCACTCTCTTGGCCACTATACGGTCAGGGTTGACGGAGAGAACTGACCCTGTAGCTATCAAATCATGATCTCCTGGAAATAGTTCAATTTATGTAAATTAAAAATGTATGATTACTGATTAAATAGAAGTATATAAAACTTTTCCATAGTTTAGACCACCACATCTTTTTATACATGCAATTTACAACACTATTATTAATCAGCAAAGTATTCTTACCCATGACTTTACAGTTGGGTACTTTTCCCACTTCAAAGCTCTTGTCTTCAACATATCACTTTCACTTTCTATAGTAAAAATTCAATGGACACACTAAAAGTGGATCTCTACAATCTCTTGGTATCATCCACAAGTGGTGAGCTAACTCTACTCACCATTGCACTGTTCTTTAAACACCAGTACAGAGGCTGGAGGAAATATGATGGGGGCAAACACAGTGGCCACGCACATCATGTCCTTCTTGAAGAACTTTTCAAACTGAAAGTGTCAAAATATCATTAACTGTTATTTATCACTGGCAGCTCCACATCACAATGATTTAAAATGTATTTATTTCTATTATCAGTTTTCTTGAAAAAAGGGCTAATGAATTTCTCTAAAATAATAAATGATTGGTGACTGTTATCTTGTCTGGGTTCATGCTAAATGTAGAACCTATATCTCCATTATATTCCAAGAAATACCTGGCATTAAGACAGAAAGACAGATAACATGTTGTAAAGCCTACAGGGTCTACTTACCTTATGCTTGTCTCCATTCGTATGCTGTGAAAATATCGGACAGGCAGCAAATCTCCTGTAGCCTACATGGAAGATCAACCGCTCCTTAGATTTGATTGGCTCAGTGCTCTGCGGCAGACGTTTCACCATGAAGTGTACCACGGACATCTTCTGCTCGTGTGAAAGTAGTCCGTACAACACCACAGGAGAGCCAGCTGTGTAGGATTCTGTAAATATAAGTATTTTACTTTCATGGTCGATTAATTTTTAAATAAAAAAGTTATAATGCCCAATCACCTACAGGACTATATAAACTAGGCACTGAATATGACACTCATACAGACATTTAACAAAGATATCCAAATAAACATTCAAGATTATCTAGGCAAGATGGATAATGGTGAAAATTTACAGTATTAAATATTCACTTCAATAGCACATTTGTCCAGTCTACAAGTTACTGTCCACAATTTAATGAGCTTTTTTTTCTGTCCAACCATCTGTATCATAATATACCCTGTAGACTTACCCATGAAAGCTCTCGGAACATTGGCAACATGAACTGTGACATACCAACCAGGCTGAAATAAATAATAATGAAAGTAATGATTTAACACTCACTTTACATGACAATAGCATTCTATTCTTAAAATTAAAAAACAAAAACAAGATGATTAATTTTTGACAGATATATTTCACTTTAACAGTACAAATTATCAAATTTTCTTCTTCTTCTTCTTTTTTTTTTTTTTGAACAACAATTACTGGTTAAAATCAAACCAAGGAAACAAATATCAACTCAAACAGAACTCCCATTTTTCCTCATACTCATCAAAACCTACCTCAGCCCCGTCCTTCTCCTCCTCAAGCACTCTTTTCTTTGTTCTTTTAAAATTTTCAAACTGGAAAATCCTGGCATAGTCAGCTGGCAGGTTCTCCTTGGGGTCCCATGGGGATGTCCTGAAGCTTTTCAGACCACGGTATCTGCAATTAATAAATATATATATAAATGTATATAGAAATTTCTTTTTCTATATTGGTAAGGTGGAGAACTTCAGATGCTGTGTCACAAACAACCAAAGTCATTACTTATTAAATCAAGTAACATGAAAAGGAAAGAACATCATTCAACATACATAAATACACACACTGAACATTTATTTTTTAATTTAAAAATGGCAAAAAAATATTTTGAATGCTTTGTCAAAAACAAACTAGCCACTAAATCAAACAGCAATGCCTTATTTAACAAAGGTAACAATACACCCGTGTACTTACATTCTTACACACACATACACACACACATACATATGTCAGCATGTACAAAATCCCAGAGAAACAAAAAGAAATGCCTGTCCATACCTCTGAAATCTCACTCTGGCTGGCGTGTCCATGGGGGTGTCTACTTCATCAGGGAACATCTCATCTGCTCTGGCTGCCTTATACTTCTCCAGCCTGAAGAAGGGACCAGGTTTATATAAAATTATATCTTTCAAAGTCCTTGGCCCTTCTCACACTGGGCAATATATGTAAACAAGAAAGTATGTATCAGTCCATTCTGAGTGCTCCTAACATGTAAGTATTTACTCCTTCTCACAAGTTCTAGCAGAATACTTCTCGAATTGAATAATTATGAGGAAATAATCAAAATTTAAACCATGTTACTCACATCTTTTCTTCCTCATCCATATCATAATCAGCATCATACTTCTCAACATTGCCAAAAGAGACAGTCCCCTGAGTGATAGACAGTAAGTCGGCATCAGTGTTTAATTAAGACACAATGTGTAGAGCATACATTCAAAGACACCACACACTTTTTTAAAAAAGATTTCCTTTTCCAAATCTTAATATGCACTTTCTTTTACTTGCAAAAGTAAAATATGTTGACCAATAAACAGTTAAATAGCAAAGACAAATCTAAATATAATAATTTTCTCAAGTAGCTACACAGGTGTTCCTTCAAGATATAGATAACAACCTTGTCTGTATTTGTTCCATCGTCTTCTTCCTCTTCCTCTTCGTCATCTGCTTCAGAATCTTCATCATCATCTTCATCTTCTACTGCCATCTTTGTTTCACCATCTTCACTTTCTGAGTCATCATCCTGTATTAAATTATGATAAATATCTAAAAACTCTAACGTTCTCTTTGTAATGGGGCACAGATACTGCATAAGAAAATTCAGTTGCAAAAATAAAAAGGAGATTATGGATTATGCAGAAAGTGTCTAACCAATGATTTATTAATCAATATGTTGATTTTCTTTGAATTCATCCCTGTTCTCTCTCTCTCTTATTTCAAACAATTAGACAAGGGGAAACAATACAAATCTACAGGGCGTTTCAATAAAACTTGCACACAACTCACCTCATCTTCGTCTTCATCCCCACTGTCTACAATCCATGCAGCCTGGTATTCTGATGTTCCCTTGGGGACCTTCTTGGTAATTGTCTTCTTTTCATGGAACTCTGCTTAAAAGAACAAAAAGTTCAGAAACAAACACACTTTCTCTCTTTTATTCAGTATCTAGAATTGCTTACTTCTCTTCACTTTTGCTCCTCTAAGGTAATGAAAAAAA